TATACTTTCCTATGTGGGAAACGAATATTTCGTGGTGTTACATATTTTTGGCCCAATCAAACTTATAATACCCCCAACATATAGTGTTGTAGGGTATAAAAATAAATTTTAATCAATTTTTTTTTTTTTTTTTTTTTTGAAAGATCAATACGTGACATTAAAATTTGAAAATGATTTCAGGCATATGGGCACCGCGTCTGTTCTTGACGAAATGCATTTTGGACGTCCAATTTTTGGTTTTCCAAATTTTGATTTCAATAAGTCGATGGTTGCGTTCGCTGTATGGCACGTAGCGTCATTCTGTTGAATCCATATTTGTAAACAAAAAATCGTTGATCATGGTGCGGTAACGATCTCCATTGACCGTAACGCAAGCTCCGGCCTCATTTTTAAAGAAATAAGGTCCGATGATGCCACCAGCATGAAAACCGTACCATACGGTGCATTTTTTTGGATGTAATGGAGTCTGTAGGGTCTCTTGTGGATTGGTCTCACTCCATATGCGGCAATTTGCTCATTAACAAACCCGTTAAGCCAAAAATGCGCCTCATCGCTGAACACAATTTTGCGATAAAACCACGGGTCATTTGCCAACTGCTCTAGAGCCTGATTTTCAAAGTAAATTTGGATAATTTCGTAGCGTTGTTCAAGCGTGAGTCTATTCATGATGATTTGTCAGAGTATAGTGAAACAAATAAAAAAGTTTCATCAACATTTAAATTTTTTTTGTAAAAAACACCCTTTGTTATAAAATGGCAATAACTCCTTTAATATTCACTCTCGTAATTTTTGGCTATTATTTGCGATCAGTAAAATTATATAACAGCTCGAAATATTGGTCTCCGACATAGGAAACAATATATGGATCTTCTATCTCGCCGAGCTGAGTCGATTTAGCTATGTATACCCGTCCGTCCGTATGTCCATGTTAATTTGTAATCACTCTACAGAGGGTGGATTCTTGTTCTATGAAAATATGAAATGAAAAATATTTTCTTTATAAAATTTTTCATTTGACATTTCTTTCCTTTATGAATGTTTTCATTTCACATTTTCATAAAACAAGAATTGAGGCCCAGGTCGTAATTAATGGCCACATCCTCACGGAATTGAAAATGGTAAATTAAGATGGATCAGATTGGAGGTGTTCGAAAAATATGTAGGGGTTGAAATAAGCCAAAAACAGAAAATTTTCCTGCTCTACAAGCCACAATTATAAACCAATCGACGTTGAATTTTGCATGGAGTTTGAGTTTAAGGTTGGGCAGAACCCTACCATTTGGGTTTGGTCATCGGACAATATTTTGCAGGTAAAATAAACCATAACTTTTATGTCAAAAAATAAGAAAATGTTCACTAAACCGCGAAAATTTTTAATCCTGGCGAAATCATAATGCATTAAAAATAAGTACGATATATATATAAACGAAATAGTATCGAATTAGTGGTAGTGTCAGAATTAAAACCTTTTGTTTTTGAAGATTTTGTGTACCAAAAATTAAAATTTTCCTGATTTTGCAGTCGCTCTACAGGTTCCAATTGACTATAGCCTTTGCTTACTTTTTTTTTATCAATTATTTAGTTATGATTTGGATATTTTAAAATGGTCATGAGTCAGTTTTTAGAGGATGAGAAAATTTCAGATATCTGATTACAGAATATCGAAAGTTAGGAAGTAAAGATATTTGGCATCTACTAATAAACGTCGACCGATAACGCCCATTGTAATACAAATCATATAGTCCTTCCCATAATTGCACCAAATAGGCAGACATTGATAAATTCATTTGTAATCGTATGGTTATCAACAAAATACATAATTAATGGTGTCTCCGAAACACCTCGTATAAGGGAAGCGGAGCGAAGAAATTGAAAAATCAATATTATTTATTTAAAACTTTTTAAACCATCAATATCATCCATCTAATTGTATCTATCTGTTGACTAACTGCTCGTGACTATTCATACATTAACAACAATATTACGACGATTAGCACCTGGTGAGGGAAACATAAACTACAAGTACCGGTTTATGTCTTCGATGACAACAAACTACTATATCCATCTATCGGTGGAAATTTTTTCATTGCAGGCACATTGTTTAGTAGAAACGATAACCCTTTTTCGACGAAATCACACACATGAGTATATTTGAAATTCGACTAGTAATAATTATTCACTTTTCCTTGCATACTTTTAGGAACAAACAAAAAATAAAAATTCTATTAAAAACCAAGGAAAGCTAAAAATAGTAAACGTAGAAATGTAATTTCAACATTAATACATAAAATATTATTGAAAGTGATTAAGTAAAACGTTGTAGACCGTTTTGTCTACAGCAAAACGAAAAGTTACATACATATAGGATAGGATATTGGTCCACTGTTTGAAATACCTCCACTACCAAAAGGCAACATTTAAGTTAACAATTACTCATATAAAATTTGATATAAATGTTCGATTTTTCTTCAATTTCGTATATACGAATATTTTACAGACATTAGAAAAAGTGTGAAAATCGAAGATGTATGGGTCCACTTTTTGTACTTCCACAAAAATTCAAATATAACAGAAAAATTACACACATTTTTTACTAACCGAGGGGAGTACCCAATTTAGTTTAAACTATTTACATGGATGTCAGACTGCGATCATTGAGGGCAACACATTTGAAAAGAATTCCTCTCTCAACGTCTGATTTACTGCAAATTTTGAATATCCCACTTTGTTAAAATTTGAGCTAGTGGAAGAATGAAATGCGTCTTCATTTAGTTATAGGCCCCATATAATGCTCCTTCTTCTTATTTTCGACATTTTGGTGATTTAAGTAACATTTTTCACCGGAATCGTTTCAAATTTGGTATTTGAAGTTCGTAATGGATAATACAGCCCATGACAGAAAATTGTCTATGCAGGTCGACGTCTTCGAATAGCCCCCATATAACGGCACCTCCCGATATTTGGTATTTTAATGATTTTAGCGACATTGATCACCGGCAATGTTACAAATTTGGTATTGGATGTTCGTAATGGATATAACAGCCTATGACAGAAAATTATCGGTGCAGGTCTACGCCATCGTATAGCTCCTCCATATATTTAAAGTTCGTAATGGATACTTCAGCCTATGACAGAAAATTATCTGTGCAGGTCCATGTCTTCGTATAGCCCCCATATAACGATACCTCCTGATATTCGCTATGTTGATGATTTTAGCGGCATTATTCACCAGAACTGTTCTCCAATTTGGTATTTGAAGTTCGTAATGGATACTATAGAATATGACAGAAAATTTTCTGTGCAGGTTTATGTCTTCGTATTGCCCCCATATAATAGCACCTCCCTATATTCGGTATTTTGATGATTTTTGCCACATTATTAACTGATTTTTTTCTAGTTTCGCATTTGAATATTGTAATGGCTTATGACAAAAATTGCCTATGCAGGTCCACGTCGTCGTATAGATCCTAATATAACGGCTACATTCGGTATTTTTAAGATTTGAAAAGAATTTTTAACGGATTTTTTTTCTTTTTTTTTTTTTTTTGAAAATAGCCAAATTCGTTTCAAATGGTGGAGGGTATTCAAAGTTCGGCCCGGCCGAACTTACAGCTTTTTTACTTGTTTATTTTATTATACCCTAAACACTATGTGTTGGGGGTATTATAAATTTGATTGGGCCAAAAATTATGTAACACCTCGAAATATTGGTTTCCCACATAGGAAAGTATACAGGGAAATTTCTATCTCGCCGAGTTGAGTCAATCTAGCTATGTATGTCCATTCGTCCGTCTGTTCATGTTAATTTGTAATAACTCTACAGGTCGCAATTATTGCCCGATTTTCACGAAATTTAGAATGGAGGTGGGGCTAGGGCCAGAATAGAAGCTTATTGCTTTTGGAGATGATCGCGTAATATTTAGAGGTTGAAATAGACCAAAAACTGAAAAATTTCCTGATTTTGCAGTTGCCCTACAAGTCGCAATAATAGACCAATCGACGCGGAAGTTAGCGTGGGGCTAAAACTTAGGGCTGGGCAGAAGCCTTCCAATTTGAGGGTCATTTTTCCATTAATTTTTAATTTAATTTATTTTTAATCCCGTGGAAATCACAAGTAGACGAGCAGGTCAATTTTGACCGTTACGTATATGCCGATAGTAGATATAACGGATATATATAGCGAAATGTATGCAATGTATATATACAAAGGAAGGGGATGTTAGCTAGAATGCTTATATCTCAAAAATGGCTGGACCGATTTTGACAAATTTTGTCAATTCAGAATGCCCTCTTGGCATAAAAGTATAAAATCTAAATAAATCGTATAAAAAGATGACAATGTTATATAGATTTTGTTAATATAGATTTTATAGGACTTTGTTATTTGTTTTTTTTTTTTTTTTTTTTATCAGATGCGATTTTTTTAATTTGGCTCATAATATTGAAGTATACATTTGTAATGTTTTTCCCCTTACAACACAGGCTGGGGTTATCCTAACGAACATTTTCACAAGGGTTGGGTTAGGCTCAGAAGGGATAGGCCTATTGTTTTCAAAGATGTCCGCAATATATTAAGAGAAGTGCGTAAATATTAGGCAAATGTCCCTGGTCAAAATGCGAAGATTAATACCTAGGCAGTTCTCCGTGACATAATTTCAAAAGCGAACTCTATTAAAATGGATTTTGACATAAAAGGGCTTCTAACATATTGTAGTGTTGTAGGGTATCACATAAGCGGCCCCGCACGACTATAGCCTTTGTTTACTTGTTTTTATATTGAACTTGCAGCAAGGGGATTTGCCGAGATTGATGCCCGTACTCGTCCGTTCATTGGTATAGGGGGAATATATGATATTTTTTTTATTTTTCAAGGAACAACCTATTAAATGGTAGTTTTTTTTTACATTACCAGGTAAATGGATCCATAATGTCTATGACTAATCAAGATGTAACAGTGTAAATAATTTTCAAAATTTTCTTTTTATTTTTATATTTACTTATAATATCAAATATACGAAAATAATATTCAACTTATAGCCTAAAACGAATAAAATAAATTTTGGTATAAACATCTACGGCTGAATTGCCCCGCTGAAAAATTGAGATACAAATATCAAAGGCAGGGGGAGGGGGTTGGTAGGAAAACTTAAAATTCTACAGAGATAGACGACAGCTATTTACAAACTTATAGCTACTACTAATAATTTGTTGCAATTTCTTTTCATCTTTCGAAGTTGGCAAGATAATCTCAGAATAGACCAATCACATTACAGTCAATTCGTCATTCCTTCATTCATTCATTCACGTTTGGTAATTTTAACACGCAAACCATCCTTGGGTCGCAAAATCAATTCACCCAAAAGTGTCAAGTCTTCACGACGATCTACGGTTTCAACCTTATATTTACGCAATACTGTGGAGATGACAGCCTTCTCTTCGAGAATGGCAAACTTTTGACCAATGCAATTACGTGGACCCGCACTGAAGGGGATATAGGCGAAGGGATGGCGACCGGCACAATTCTCAGGCAAGAAATTATCGGGGTTGAATTGTTCCGGTTTGGGGAAGACACGAGGATTACGATGCAGCATGTAAGTCATAATGATGGCTGTGGTGCCAGCTGGTACGGTATAGTCACCTGGAAAAGACAAAACCAAAAATTTATCGTATTCAGAATATTTTTCCGCTCTCTATCATGACGAAGTAGGCTATCGTGATTTAGCCAATTATCATGTTGAAAGTCATGAATGTAAACGCATTGTTATTCCCTTTAAGAGGGTAAATATTTACCAATCTGAACATCTTCATTTATGGAACGACCCATCATTGGCACAGAGGGGAACAAACGCAAAGATTCCTTGATACAGCACTCCAAATAACGCATATCCATGAGATTCTTCATGGTGGCCGGTGTGTCACGATCATCACCAAATATCGACTCCAATTCCTCGACAACACGTTCCTGATATTCAGGATGAGAACCCAACAGGAACAACGTCCATGAAATGGCAGCCGATGTGGTATCGTGTCCCTCAAACATAAACGTGTCAACCTCCTCACGAATATCGGAGTTTGACAATTTTGTGCCCTCCTGTGAGTATTCAATCAACAGATCCAAGAAAGCCAAACGTTTCTTTTTACCCAAGTCGTCATAAGCATCGGCAACACTGTCGTAATTGTTGTTGTTCATATTCTCACGCAATTCGGCTTTACGTTCACGAATCACCTTGTTGGAGAAACCATGTAGGGTATTAATGTAGCTGGTGTGACGTTTAGCGTCGGCGGTCATACGGAAAATGAAATCGGGATGTAGCCACAGTTTTGATTGACGGGATTGGACAATTTCACCGATGCTGCGAAGGAGGGAGATAACAATACATTTGATTAATATAAATGAAGAGAATATGTGTGCGTTGTATTGACTCATATATGGACGATATTTTATAAGTTTTCTAGAGATAGCTGATCTGAATAAGATTATGTAGACCTTATACATATTTCCGTATATAATATAGGGACATTTATACAATTCTTGTGTAGGAAAACATTTTATATTTCCTCGAAAGGAAAAAAAGCTTTTAAAAATCGAAGGTAATGTAAAACCCGTTATTTTAAAAAAGGCATTAGAATTCAAAGGATATTTTAAATACATGGATTTGCTACCATTGGCAGATTGGTAGTAATACCCGGAAGAATATGGATACATAGGCTGGATTCACTTCATATGTTACAAGCACACCGGATTTATACCTTCTTCCCTTTCCAAATGTCTAACACTTTTGAGGAGGAATTTGATACTAAGAAGAAAATTCCTTTCGGGATTGTTAATTATTGTTCATTATTATTTTAAAGTAGTACTATCGAATGTTTCTAATAATGTGATTATCGATAGTTCGTCAGCTCTAAAGGAAACGCTTTTCTAAAGAGAAGATAGTTTTCAGTCACCTAATGTCATTTTAAAAGGGAAGGTTCAGTTTTACTAAAAATATACCTCTTCTAAAGAGAGAACACGGCCTTCTTAAAGACTTCTTAAAGGTCAATATCTTCAAAAGGTCTCCTATACAAGCAAACAAATATACCTCTTTCTGGCCGTCTAAAGAGGTAAGACGACATTCTTCTTTAGAAGACAAGTATACGGAAGACCTTCAAAAGGTCTCCAATGGATCGAAGACCTCCATAACGTTGCCTAGAGACCGAGTAATTTCTATAGAAAAAATAATACCGCCTCCTTTAGATCATCTAAAGCTAGTAGATATCTTTCAGATCTTCTAAAGAGAGAAGACTTCTTTCAGTTCTTTTAAAGAGAGGCATCGTCTAAAGAGAGACTTTTTCTAAAGAAAAAATACCGCATTATTTAATCGTCTTAAAGATCATGTATCAGACAAATGGCCTTCCATAGGTCTCCAACGTACCGAAGACCCCTAAAAATTCTCGTATGTATCAAATAACTTTTAAAAATATCCTATGGATAAAACCAGTAAAGAAAGCCTTAAAGTCGGGCGGGGCCGACTTTATGATACCCTACACCACTTCGCTAATTTAATAGAGCTACGCATAAGAATTAAAAGTTTTTATGGGAGAATTCAATCATACACGCTATGATTATAATTATAATTTAAAGTTCAAAGGACTAAATATGCCGAAGCATTTGTATCTTTTAAATTCGGACTTGTATTGCCCATTTGGTGCGAAATTAATTTGAAATCGGATAAAAATATATATGGGAGCTATATCCAAATCGGAACCGATCTCGATAAAATTTGGCAAAGATATTTCTGAGCTGTATTTCGTATATTTCCCTGAATATCGTTGTTACGGAGTGCATATTATGGCTGTGGGTAACAAATCGGATGAACAGTATATATGGGAGCTATAGCTATATCTGAACCGATCATTACAAAATTTGACATACTAGCTTCTAGACTCATTTCGGTCGTAAGTGCCAAATTTCATCCCATTTGGGCAAATATTAGACGTTTGGTGCACAATCAAAGGTAAATCGGACGAAGTTATATATGGGAGCTATATCCAAATCTGAACCGATCTCGATAAAATTTAGCAAATGTATTTCTGAGGTGTATTTGATATATTTCCCCAAATATTGTGGTTACAGGGTGCATATTACGGCTGCGGAGGGCAAAAATAACAAATCGGATGAACAATACATAAGGGAGCTATAGCTATATCTGAACCGATTTCGATCAAATTTGAGGTCCAATCTGATCGTGCGTGCAAAATTCCATACTATTCGGACTGATATTACACGTTTGGTGCACAATAAGAGGCAAATCGGATGAAGATATATATTGGAGCTATATCTAAATTTTTGAATTTTTGTCCTTGGGCCAAACAAATGATTTGTGCAAAATTTCATCTGGATAGGACAATAAATGCGAACTGTACTTTGTTTACAAAAATACATGGACAGATGGACAGACGGACGGACGGACATGCATAAATCGACTCAGAATGTGATTCTATGCAGATCATCAAAAGGAACTATGGGTCTATCTCGTTTCCTTTTGCCTGTTACAAACAAATGCACAAAGACATAATACCCTGACCACCTTGTGGTGTAGGGTATAAAAACATCCAAACGCCCTCAATGGATTAAAAGTCTCCAAAAAATTTTCCAGGCTAAACAACTTTTTATAGGACTTCCAGGATATGAATGATTTTGAACAATCATCCATGAGTTATAGACTTCCCACTGTGTTTACTACAGAAGGAAGAGTTCTTTTAGCTCTTCTAGGACGAAGGACCTTCAAATGTTCTCTTATATACCGAATTCCTTCTATTGTCACAAGTACTTTTAAGGGTTTCTATAGGAAAAGACCTTCCAATGCCCTTTTCTTTTTCAAAGGCCTTCTCTGGTTAGGCGGAATCCTAAAGGTATTCTATGGCTAAAATATTTGCTATGACCGAAAGACCTTCTATAGTTCCCCTATGACTTGAAGACTTTCCTCTGTGGCTATAAGATTTTTATGGATGGAAGACTTTCTGTATATTCAGAAGACTTTATATAAGACGACATTATATAGATCCTTTAAAAAATTGAGAAAAAAATTGGGCTTCTAGAGAAAAGATACCTCTTTTGAGATATCTATGGACCGGAAAACCTCTAAATGTCCTTTATGGACCAAACAATTAAAATATTTTCTATTGGCAGAAGTTTTTTAAAGGGCTTCCATGGATAAAATATATTTCAATAGTCTTCTATGCATATACGACATTTTAAAGGTCTTCAATGTATAGAAATATAGCCTTTTATAACTTTTTCAGGTGGGAACCCCTGATGAAAGTCCTTCTATGAATAGAAGTCTTTCTAGGGGAAATTTATGATAATTCCTTGAGATCTCTAAAGGGTAGTAGGCCCTCCTAAAGGGTTTTATATATATAATAACTCCAAATGTTAACCATGGGTAGAACACCTTATAAGGATTCCCTATATATGTACGATCCTTTTAAAGGACTAAATATAATAATGATACTGTAAAGTCCTGGGTATATATGACCTTCTGAAAGTCTACTACATGTCTAAACGACAACTGAAAGCCTTCTACAGCCAGGAGTCTTATTACTTCTGAGGATAAAAAAGTTAATTAATAAATGGAAAAACTTCTAAACATCGTCTTTAAAAATAGATCATTTTGTAAAGAGAAGACCTTTTCTTAATTATATAACCTTCTGAATATATTTTATGAATACAAGAACTTCTGGGAGTTTTCCGTGTAGAAGATTTAAAGATCTACCAAACAAAGAAATAATTTTAAAGCTAGAAGCCTCAAAAGCTAAAGCACTATGAATAGATTAACTCATAAAGTCCAACAATTATTTTAAGAAACTCTAAAGGTTCCGCTTGAATAGAGGAATATATCTCCCGTAGTAAAATAACTTTTGCCTCTTTTTACAACTTTACATAAATCCTTAATTTAATAGGAGATATAAAATTTGCCTGTGACAAAATTGTCTTTTGTATTTACGCCCTTTATATTTATTTCAATTATTTTAACTACCTTCACCTTGAAACAGTGGTGTCATAGCCTAACCTTGATTATATCTAGAAATCAAAAGAGTTCCCACAAAACAAATTTTTAAAATACGTATTTCCTCTAAATTACCGGAAATAAATAAATAAAACTACACTAAACCACAATGCAAGTGTTGAAAAACGATGCTGATAACTGCCAAGTAGCCAGCTTCTGTTTATAGCTCGAATTAGCTGCATAGAAATGTTTAATGACACAAATACTTACCCATAAACAGCCTTAACATAATCCGATTCACTGTTACTCTGGGCATAAATGCTGCGACCCATAGCGGTTTCTGAAATAGACCAAAACCGAAATCATAAAACTCTTTTTCATCACAAAGTTTGAATGGGCCACAAAAAAAAAATAAAACAATTAGGCCCTACAAATGCAAGACTGTAATACATCATTACGAATGACAACAATGACCATTTGATGGTCATCATCATCGCCAGGCGTAATTATTTTTAGAGTCATGATTGTAATTTTTTTCTTATTTATGATACCTACCACAGACAATATCCAGGGTACACAATGTTACATAGGGGAAGATATTAAATGATTCTTTGTTCAATTCACGCTCCAATTTATTTGTCAAGATGGCACTTTGCTCATTGAAAACATCAATGAAATCATCCAAAATTTTGAAATGGAAAGCTGGTGTTAAAATCTATTGATGACGGAGAAGAGAAGAAGAAGACGATGATGGTAACGTGTGTTGGGAATTATGTTGTGTTTTCATTTACCTTTCTTCTGGAATGCCATTTACGACCGAAACTTGTCAAAAGGCCAGTGCCCAACCAGGGTTGCAAGTATTCGTAATCACCACTTTTGTCAATGAATTTTTGACTGTTAAGAATGGGCTGGAATTGGAAAAGAAGAAATGGCGATGAATTTTAAAGTATTTATTATTGAGTAGGAATAATAATAACAATAATAATTATAATAATAATAATAATAATAATAATAATAATAATAATAATAATAATAATAATAATAATAATAATAATAATAATAATAATAATAATAATAATAATAATAATAATAATAATAATAACAAGTAAAAAACCTGTAAATTCGGCGGTCTGAACTTTGAATACCCTCCATCATTTGGAGCTGGCAATTTAAAAACAAAAATAAAATCCGTTAAAAATTCTGTTAAAATCTTAAAAATACCGAATGTAACCGTTATATTATGGTCTATACGACGACGTCAGCATGCATAGGTAACTTTTGTCATAAGCCATTACAATATTCAAATGCGAAACTTGAAAAAAATCGTGAATAATGTTGCTAAAATCATCAAAATACTGAATATAGGGAGGTACCATTATATGGGGGCTCTACGAAGACGTAGACCTGCACAGACAATTGTCTGTCATAGGCTGTAATATCCATTACGAACTTCAAATACTAAAATTTAAACATTTTCGGTGAATAATGTCGCTTAAATCACAAAAATTACAAAAAAGGGAGGTACCATTATGTGGTTGGTATAGCCGTGGACCTACATTTTCAATACCAAAAGTCCTGCAGACATAATATACATTTGAGTAAAATTTTATCAACCTACTTCATTTCGTTCGGAAGCTAGAGTGATTTCCACACACGGAACGACGGACAGACCAATCAAGAATATATATACTTTGTGGGGTCTAAAATGCCCAATATTTACGCACTCCGTCATGGGAAAGTTGTGGCCCAATTTACAGCTAAATATAATCCAATGGTCACCGAAAATGCAACACTTCTTCCCTGTTCTTAAATCTGTGGTCATGCTAAATTTCGTATCGATTAGTTTTCCATTGTGAAATGTAGAGCGACTGCAAAATCAGGATAATTTTAATTTTTTTGGTCCACTTGAACGCCTAAATAAACAACTACAAAACAATAGGCTTTAATTCTGACCCTAACCCTACCCCATGCAAAATTTTGTGAAAATCGGACGATAATTGCGACCTGTATATTATACCCTCAACACATAGGGTTGCGGGTGTAGAAAACTTTAGAAAATATAAAATTCAAAATGGTAAATCATTCCGAATTGAGGAGAATTTTGAAAATCAGTCCATCGGTTCTGGGCTTATAAGCAGAATAACTAAGATCTATTTCTTTTACATATATTGTACCTATTTTGCTATATATCCGATATTGTCGATATCAACATCACTGTAATGGTCAGACGTGTCATTTTAATGTATTTGTGATTTGGCCGCGATTAAAATGTTCGCGTTTTGGTGGAAATTTTCGTATTTTTGTACATAAAAGTTATGGTTTATTTTACACTCTAAATATTTTCCCATAACCTTGATTTATTTTACCCGCTAAATATTGTTCGATGATTGTCCAAATTGGTAGGCTTATGTCTAACCCTAAACTCTAACTCCATGTACAATTCCGCGTCGACTGGTCTATAATTGTGACCTGCAGAGTTACAGCAAAATCAAGAACATTTTCTGTTTTTGGTCCATCTCCAAAAAAAATGTCTTCTATTCTGACCCTAACCTCACCCCAATTTTCAATTTCATGGGAATAGGGCCATATTTGCGTCCTGTACCGTGATTACAAATTAACATGGACAGACGGACATACATAGCTAGATCGACTCATCGACTCGGCGAGATGGAAAGATCCATATGTAGTTTCCTATGTGCAGGACCAATAATTCGAGGCGTTGCATAATTTTTCCCCTTTGATATAGGAGTACATTTTAGATTATATATTTGTTAAACTTGCAATATTTCAGAACTTTTCGTTTATTATACCCTCCACCATAGTATATATTAAGTTTTTAATTCCGTTTGTAACACATCGAAATATACATTTTAGACACCACAAAGTATATATATATGCTCGATCAGCATAAAATTCTATATCGATTTGTGGAAATCACTTTAGCTTCCAAACGAAATTAAGTAGGTTGATAAAATTTTACTCAAATGTATATTATGTCTGCAAGACTTTTGGTCATGTAGGTGCACGTTTCGGTATAACCCTCATATAATGGTACCTCCCTTTATTCGGTATTTTGGTGATTTAAGCGACATTATTCATCCCAAATGTTTCAAATTTTGTATTTGAAGTTCGTAATGGATATTACAGCTTATGACAAGAAAATTGTGTGTGCAGGTCCACGTCTTCATATAACACCCACCCCATACAACAGTACCTCCCGATAATCGGTATTTTGATGATCTTAGCGAAATTATTCACCGGAATTTATTTCAAATTTGGTATTTGAAGTTCGTAAAGAATACTACAGGCTATGACAGAAAGTTGTCTGTGCAGGTCCACGTTTTGGTATAGCACCCATATAATGACAAAACTTGCCTATATAGGTCCACATCTTCGTATAAACCCTAATATAACGACTACATTAGATATTTTTAAGATTTTAAGAGAATATGTAACCAAATGTATTTTTTGAAAATTTTCAAATTCGTTCCACATGGTGGAGGGCATTCAACGTTCGCCCCGGCCGAACTTACAGCTTTTTTACTTGTTTTTTAATTCATTTGAAAGAAAAACAATACCCCCATACCAATTCTTTTGGTATGAGATTCTGTTGTTGCGCCTTATTTTGATTCATTTGACTTAATGCTGATATCCAAGTGTGAGCCTCATATTAAATTCCAGATTTCTATTTGTACTCGTTCTCCTAATATCAACATACTCTTAAATAAGACTTTCCAAACGCTTTTGTATACGCCATATGTTCGTCACAGAAAAACCTACATACATAAAACCAAATCTCTGGCTCGTCTTATCACCCTGTATCAATTATAATATATCTAGATTTTTTTTAGTAATTTTGATACCTTATTAATATGAATATCAAAAAAAAAAAAAAAAAAACAAAATCCACCCTAAACTTGCACAAAAAAAGTGCTCCCCAATATGAATATTTACCTTTTTAGTACAAGTTTCCAAATTATTTTACCAAATCATATTTTTATATTTATCCTTACTCTGCAGTCCAAGTGTCCTCCCTCATACCAAATATTTCACTCAATATTTAGTTCAAATTTTTCCAGTAGACTTTTGTTGCGATTCAAAGACAATCCAAAGACTCAATTTCAAATTATAACTCTTACCTCAACAGTTTCTGGATCAAATAACATGACATAAGGTGTTTGACCCTGCCAGGCTTTATTCATGCCAATACGCGTGCCCCACATGCGTTGAGAGCCGGTTAGACGGGAGAATAATTCTGTAAAAAAAGACACGAATAAAAATGTTTATTTTAATAAATTAATGACTATCAATTAATAATATTTAAACTAAAATTTACTAGCCTGTGGCAAAATAACAATCTCATTTTGAATTCTGTTGGATATAAATTCCCGAAAAACAGGTTCTAGATTCCAAAATAGACTTTTGAAAATACACAAATTCAACAAACCTTAATTTTAGTGTAAAGCTTAGCGCTACGAAAAGAATGTTAAGAGACTCCAGTAATCCCACGTGTGTAAACCAAGCTATTCGAGGTCAAAGGTCAACGTTTTTAATTTTTTCTTTCGAAAATGAAATGGAACAGATACACAATTTTTTCCTGCTTTTACAGTCGGTCTTCAGTTTACGACAGGTTGGAGAATACATCAATTAGGATGTTCAATGCATAAATTTAGAGTATGAAATGTATTATGACAAATCCTTGCAAAATTTCGTTCAGGTCATACTTGCGAGCTGAAGATTGATAACAAATTCAAATATTTCAAAACTAGTAGATTATTGTAGGTGCGGGAACGGAGAAATAATGTTGTGGGGTATAAAAATATACCGAATTTTTTTTGAACAATATTTTTCAATTCTAATTCTAAGTTTTTGTTATATATTTTTTAGAAATCCACGTTTCTTGACCCCGAATTTTAGAAAACAATTAAAAAAAAAGTATAATTCGTTGACGAAAGATAAATGGACTCACATCGCGTCAAGTATCCTAAGACATTTCGGCCACAGGAATATACCTTTAACTTATTCGTATCAAAGGAATATACCCCTTGTAGATATGCGTTTGAGGTTATAATTGGACACGAATTGTAGCAAAAGGAATATCAGATAACTTTTTGCTTAAAACGCAATACAAACAAAGCGGTGGGCATTCCTCAATATGCGATGCTTCAACAAAAGCGAATTTAAAAAATCGTATTTTATTTTTCTTATGTATATGAATAATAAATTAAAGAGTTTTTATCTCTTTCAGGGGGCATTTCAATAAATATATTATGTGGCGCTCAATGTTGTCGTTTTGGAGTTAAGGTAATCTTTAGAATAATTTATGCAAACAAAAAAGGCAACAACAACAACAAATAGCAAAATGTCAACCTTTTTTACATTTCTTAAATGAACTCTAAATAACCTTTGTTGTTTTTGCTGACTATGTTTACCCATTAGATTAGTTAATTTCCTAAAATTAGATTCTACGTGACCACAACTTTGGAAAAAATTGCATTTAAAATATATAAAAAATTTTTGATTTAAATGAAATCGAAAACAAATAAATCGAACGGTTGTAATTGTTTTACATTGTGTGAATACATATGTAGTATTTTCATGTCCTACATATTGAAATAAAATAAAAACTGAGAACATTGTCCCACCTAATAGTATGTTTACATTAGAACTTTTTTTTTTGGGGTTAATTTGCTTTATGAGAATTTATTTGACGTATAACCTAGATTTTACATTAAACTAAGAGCAAACCATGTATGATTCCTTGCTCTCCCTGGCAACTTCGGATCCCATATCTCTTTGGGCCAAATCCATTTAAAAACAAGCTAAGAAGTATCAGTCGGTTTTGCCCTCAGCCACAGTACCCTCCACTATAGTATGGAGGGATTGTTAAGTTTGTCATCCCGTTTGTAACACCACGAAATATACATTGTAGACCCTACAAAGTATATATATTTTTGATCAGCATTAAATTATATATTGATTTAGCGATGTCCGTCCGTCTGCCCCCCATATAATGATACTTCCCTTTATTCGGTATTTTGATGATTTTAGCGACATTCTTCACCGGAATTGTTTCAAATTTCGTATTTGAAGTTCCTAATAACAGAAAATTGATTATGCAGGTCCACGTTTCCGTACTTCCCCACATTCGGTGTTTTGATTTTTTTTAAATTTCGTATTTGCACTTCGTAACGGGTACTACAGCCTGTGACGGGAAATTGACTATGCAGGTCCAGGTGTTCGTATAGCCACCATACAAGTTGTAAAGAATCGCTTATTTGATAAAAGTATTGAAAATTGTGACCCTTTGCGGGACATCGCAGATATATATCACCTTAACAACAAATCTTGTGTTAGCAAAAATGTTTGTGTGTGTGTAAAATCTGAAGTGAGTGCTAATTTCGCTATCTTTGAGCGTTTTGTTTTCAAAATGTGGGGGAGGCATCAGAAAAAATAGTCCGATCTCTACCATCCTTATAACATTTTTTAATTCCACATTTTATGAGCTCCATGGATATTCAAATTTTTGACCCTTTGTGGGGAGATACAGAAGGAGTGGACTGATATATCCCATCTTCAGACCAGACCTTGGGTTAATACAAATATTGTGATCTAGGTAATGGACAATGGATGTGTAAATGGACAAAAAACTGAAAAATTGAACGCGGAGTTTTGCATAGGGCTAAAGTTTAGGGGCTGGGTAGAAGCCTATCAATTTGGATAGTCATCGAATAATATTTAGCGGTTGAAAAAGTATATAGCAAAATATATACAATCGCATACTTTAAAAAAATTGGATGATAGTTAGACCGCTTATTACTCAAGAACGGCTGGACGAATTTTGACAATCCTTACCAAATCATAATGGCCTTTTGGCAGAAACGAATAAAATCTAGAAAAAATCACAAAAATATGCTAATAAAAGTGTGAATATTTTCTGTAATATTTTGTAACAATTTTTTTATTTTTTGTCATATCTTTTTTTTCAATTTGACTTATAATATTGAACTGTACATTTTGTAATATTGTTTTACCTTCCAAACACCATGTGTTGGGAGTCTAACAGTACGTTTATATATATATGAAGGTTAACCCACTGGCTTTGGATTTAAATTGTCATATCCATTACTTTTACTTCAAATAAATCCTCTCAAAGTAGGTTAACCCTACAAAAAGTTCTAACGTAAACATGGCATTATATAGTCTTAGTATAAGAATAGGAGGCCATTGTTTTGGGAAATATTCGCAGGCTTTAAAATGGACCAAAAACCAAAACGTTGTCTAGATTTTGCAGTCACCCAAGAGTTCTCAACAAAGGATCAATAGTATTTATATAATAATTTATATAGTATATATATATATATAATAATATTTAGCTGTTGAAACGGACTACAATTTTTTGTGAAAAAAAAATACCAGAATGGCCAAAATCACAAATACATGAAAGTCCCACCTCTGACTTTTATATTGTAGGACCACGTTGTGGTATCTTCTTCTTCTTCTTATCTATATCTATAAAAGAGGAAAATGTTTGTATGTTTGTTTGTTTGTTTGTTTGTTTGTTTGTTTGTAATTTATGGACTCGAAAACCGCTGAATAGATTTTCCTGAAAATTTCCATATATACTGCAAAATCGCCTGAAAGTAACATAGGCTATATACATTTTTGAATTTCCACTTGGAACTGGAGATATAGCATCAAAATCGGAGGTACCTCCCAAAAATTTAAATTTTATATGCACATATCTATTGATCGGTTAAAGATACAGTTTCCAAATTTTGAATGCGTAACGGAATTTGGAACAAAAATAAGTTTGCCAAATTATATTTTAATCGGTTCAGATTTGGATACAGCTCCCATATATATTTGTGACCGATTTCGTTCATTTGATGCCTCAAACACAATATGAATGTTCGATTCCAATGAAATTTGGAGTGTGTGACGGGATTTGATTCGAAAATAAATTTGTCTAATTTTATATTGAAATCGGTTCAGATTTAGATATAGCTCCCATATATATTTTCGGCCGATTTCAATCATTTGATGCCCCAAACACGCTATGTATCCCCAATTTCAATGAAATTTGAAACGTGTGATAGATTTTATCTAAAAAATTGATTTCCCAAATTATATTGAAATCGGTTCAGATTTGGATATAGCTCCCATATACATTTTCGGCCGATTTCATGTATTTGATGCACCAAACACGCTATGTATCTCTAATTTTAATGAAATTTAAAATAAGTAACGGAATTGGGAGCCAAAATGAATTTGTCAAATTAAATTGAAATCGGTTCAGATTTGGATATAGCTCCCATATATATTTTCGACCGATTTCATGTATTTGATGCACCAAACACGTTATGTATGTTCGATTCCAAAGAAATTTGGAATATGTAACGGGATTTTGATTAGAAAATAAATTAGTCAAATTATATTAAAATCGGTTCAGATTTGGATATAGCTCCCATATATAATTTCCGCCGTTTTCACATATTTAATGCACAAAACACGATACGTATTTCCGATTCCAATGAAATTCGGCATGAGTGGCTAAATTTGGTACAAAAATAAATTTGACAAATTATATTCAAATACGCTCAGATTTGATTATAGCTCCCATATATATACTCAGCCGATTTCACATATTTGATGCACCCAAAGCGAGAGAGACGAAATCTGGCACCAGAAAAAATTACCAAATTATATTGAAATCAGTTGAGGTTTGGGTATAGCTAACATATATATTTCGGCCGATTTCGTACATGTTATGCACCAAACATGATATATATGACCGATACCAATGAAATTCAGAATGTGTGGCGGATTTTGGTTACAATAATAAATGTGAAAAATTAATTGGAAATTAGTTAAGATTTGGATATAGTTCCCATATATATATTCTCGGCCGATTTCAAATATTAGACGCACCAATTTCAATGAAATATGAAAGGTGTGGCGGAATTTGGTGTAAAAGTATTTTGTTTATTTACGCATTAAAGTTGTGCAATATTTTTTTTTTTATTTTAAATTTTATTTTTTTTTTAACAAACATATATTCGTAAATAAAATTTTGAATGCATATAAAATCAAAAGGGGTAGCGAAGCGCACCGGGTTTAGCTAGTATATCTATAAAAGAGGAAAATGTTTGTATGTTTGTTTGTTTGTTTGTAATTTATGGACTCGAAAACCGCTGAATAGATTTTCCTGAAAATTTCCATATATACTGCAAAGTCGCCTGAAAGTAACATAGG